CTTATCATGTTTTGTGCCTAAGACAAAATCACAGCCTGCGGCCATAGTTCTCAGTGCATTTTAGAGCATACTGGCAACTTACTTGTCACGGTTTTAAAAACCAGCTTCTGCTCATGGTTTTTAGTAAGAACCCTTTGGAAATGCATAAGTTTTTGTTCCTGATTGTTTTTCTCTTTTCCTTGCCCCTTTTTGCACATGCTGATGTTACTGGATATCTGAGCTTTTGGGGGTTTTGCTCTCTTGGAAGATTAATGACAGGGCTATAAAAGTGATGGGCTTTGCAAACAGGAGGGTATGTGGATGATAAGGGGAGGCAATGGATCTCCGATAGAGTAAATCTGAAGATTTCCAACCTTGACAAAAATACCTGTAGTAACATATTGCTTATATCACTTTGCTTAATTTGCACTACTGCATTCCACTGATTTCAGCTTTAATTTTAAAGGAGAATGGGTGCAAGGAAGAGTTTCATTATCCATCTAGAGGAAAGATAGCTGCAAAATGCTCAAAGAGGAAAACAAAATAACAAGGACATCTTTCAAAGTGTCAGGTGGGGTGTTGTTTTTTTTTGTTTCCCAATTCAGGTTCTTACAAATTAAGTCAGGTGGAAGAAGACCCACAAAGTAAACCGGACAAAAAAACAACAACAAAGAACCCCAACCATTAAAAAAAAAAAACCAAATCAGGCCTGGAAATCAAATTCCTGTTACACAATGTAATGTTCCTATTTACTCCTCACTCTTTTCAGACAGTTACAGAGGTTGGTTTTTTTTGGGTTTTTTTTTGGTTTTTTTTGTTTTTTTTGTTTTTTTTTTAAAAGCTACAGTGTTTCAGTGTTTCTGTCATTCTTTTTTCCTCCCTTCTCTGTTTTTGCTATTAAGAATCACTGTTGCCCTTTGTTCTTTGAGCAGCAGTAGTCTGGACAGTTTGGAGCAGCAGTTGGGTGTGTTAAACTTTCCTACTAAATGGCTGTAACAACATAAGGATGGATCCATCCTAAAGGTGTTCAGCCTGAGGGGTTTTTTGTTTGTTTCTTATGGACACTGCAATGCTGTCCGGACTGTGCCTTTCACTGTTACACAAGCAATGAGATTGATTACCTGGCTGCATTCCTGGAGTCTTGATCTCTCTTTCTCCATTCTGTATTTTTTAATCTGTGGTTATAACTGCCCAGGGTGTGGAGTAACCTCTCCACTGGATACCTCCTGATCACGTCTGAATGCACAATATTGTAACCCTGGAGTTACCCTCGTAGCTACCTGTGTTGTGGCATAGTCCTCATTCCGGTGGGGAAGGGCTGGTGTCTGCCGTTCTTCTCACTGGGCTGATCCTTGGCATCACTAAGCTGCTGTCTTTCTCCTCTCTGCTTCTTCTTTGTCTTGTCCTGTCGGGACTTTGTTTTTTGGAATCATTGTTGAATTCAGTTCTTTGCTATAAGCCGCTGCTAACAGGTATCAGCTCAGCCATCTCGCTGTGTTCGGGCTTTGGTTGTTATCCTGCAGGCTCTCGTAGCCTCCATGCTCTCACACTCACAGGCGGCGATAACTACAGCTCATCATCTTTCCATCAGTAAAACAGGCTTGTCGACCATACTGTTGTCTTGTTCTTATCCTGCAAGTTCAGAATAGGTGCTAGTTCTGTTTAATCCCACCATGAGACACTCTGAAGGCATAGTGTCCCACCACAATAAATGGTGCTGCTTTTGGAGAGAGCCATCCAGTACTGAATTTTTGTCCAAAGAAGCTTTGGTATTTGTAGAAGAAATCCTGTTTAGTAGTACGGAATAGTAAATGTACCAACTCAGTTGTACAGGGAGATTGCTCAACACAGGCTGGTTAAAAGAAAGGTGAGAGGGAGGAACAATTCATTAGCTCGGTGGAGATTTTGGTGCTTAGATTCTTCTGATTTTAGTGAAGTGTGATGTGCTGAGCTCTCAGGTGGTTTTGCAAATACTTCAGCCTTCAAGGTCGGACTGTGCTTCAGAAGAGGACCAAGAAAGGGTAGAAGCTGTGTGCTGTGGAGTTTTTTATCACCTGAAAAATTGGATAGTCTTCTGCCAAGTTAGAGACCTGAGCCAGCTTGTGGTGTGATGCTGAGGGGGCAGGAGGCAAGCAAGGAAGGGAGGAGATGAGATAGGGCAGGACTGTGGGAATGGGAATGTTTTGGACAGGAGGAAAACCATCTCACCGAGGCTGGTAGCTTGGCGCAGCTGCCCTTGGGACTGCAGCCTAGATCATTCATTTGTAAGCGAGATCACTGGGTACTCAAGCCAGTTCTTGTGCCTGGTGAAGGGTTTGCATCTACAAATGGGCATTCAATTAGCTAATAAAGATGTGGCAATTGGCTGTGGTAATTGGAGTTCTGTATCTACGCAGAAAGCTGCCTTTAGTAGAGCACACTGTTTGCTCATCTTATCTTGGGTTCCGTCTCAGCTGTGCCAGCTATTTGTTGATTTGGAGAAGATATTCCTTGAGGGTTGAGGCAGGACAGAAGAAAGAAATAAAGCTACCCTGATACTTACCCACATTCTTCCCAAGAACAAGCAGATGATGTTTTGTCCTAAGGCTGTAACAGAGAGCCTGAGGAGAGATTTCACAATCACAAAAATGTAATTAGCCCCCAGGGCTTTGGGGAAATCTAATTTCTTTTGCCTTATCTTCTTATTGAGGGGGGAGGTTATTGTATTTGAAAATAAAACATGGCTTTGTCAGTTTGAAAAGTCTTTTTAGATGAGATTGTAGAGAAGTCCATCTCTTCTGCCTTACAGACAGCACTCGTGCCATGAGCAGTGGTAGATAAAAACAACACAGTTTCTGCAGTGTGCAGTCTCTGCTAACAGAAAAACAGCTGTGATCCTAGTGGTTGAGAGCTATGTTTTGCTTTTGGGCTGTTTTTGTTTTAGACAACCACCGAAGCTGTTCAGGATTTGGGTACTGCTCAGACAACAGTGGCTTGGTGTCTTTCTCTGCTGTCTCCATCCTTGGAAGTAATCCCCAAGTCATCCCCATAACTTTGTGTTAGTCCCCCCGTCTCAGCTGCTAACCTCAACCCAAATCCGTCTGTGCTGCTGTCATGTCCATCTGAAACGCGCTGCTGGTGGTGACTGGGAACAGCGAACACTTCACACAGTTGTGTCTCCTTGGAATAATCTCTCTGAGTTTTCTTTTTTCTCCTTTGCCCTCACTTAGGTGCAAGTGGACAAAGCTGTTTGAAAGGGGAACAGAAGAGCAGTCCTGTTATGTTCCTTGTTTCAGCCTACTCCCTTCTTGTTAAATTTAGTGAATATTTACACTTTTTTGGTATATATTTTTTAAAATTTTTTCCAAACTAGCACCTTTTGGGGTCACATAAGTCTTGGCCTCATTGAAATCAATACAAAGATTCCCGCCTTCCACAGAAGGTCAATTCTAGACACTGGCACCCTCCTTGTGAGGCTGGGAAGACCAAATTTTGCTTTCCTGTCCTCCGAAGGAGCTTGGCATGTGAACACCCTTGGAGAAGGTGCCAGATACTCAGCTGGTTGGTCACCCTGTTGCAGAGCAGGCTGAAGATGGATGCGTGACCTGTAAATACCAGGCACAGTATGCAGAAATCCATACTATAAATAGGAACTGTGGGCATTGTTGTGCATTTTTCAGGGCTGTAATACACTCACAGGTTTTAGATCTTTTGCGACCTGTAGCAGCGCGTCCCTCAATGATGGCATAGACTCCTTATATACTCTATACCTCACAGTTATGTGACGTGTTTCCCTGCTCCTCTAAATCAAGTGGTTGTCCCTAACAGCTTGAGTTGGTCGCGTTTTGCCTGGAGCAGTGTTTACAAGAGGTGTGCGTGTTACCAAGCTCTGCCAGAGAAGCTTTTGGGAAAACTCTCCTAGGGCAGCCAAGACTAGCGCAACCACCGGTTGAATAATCATTTGTGTGTTTTGCTTTGGTTTGGTTTTGTTTTTCTAGATTGGCTGCCAACACAAAGAACCAAGGGAAATAATTCTGAGTAAAATTTCAATTTTCTTTTTTTTTTTTTTCTTTCCTTGACAAATTAAAAAATAGAAATATTTCATTTCACCAAACCCCTGAAGTGTTTGGTTTCAGTCATTAAGAAAAGCAAGGGAAATGAAGGGTTCGACTTCAAAGAAAGTGCCTGGGGGCAGTTCCCATTTAGTGGCTCAGGGAGTGGAGCCCTTGTTTAGGATGGAGGAGACCCTGCTCCAGCCCTTTCCTGTGCTGCAGAGGATTTGAACATGCTTGTCTTTCTTCCCAGGAAGATTTGCTAGGATCAGGCTATTCTGGGACCAGGATAGGATTAGGTGAAAAGTGAGTTGGAGGAGAGACAGGCTAGATGTAAAAACAAAAAGTAAGCAATGGTGAAGAAACCTATTTTTTGCTTTCAAGCTGCAATTTGGAAACTGAAACTGGAAGCCTTGCTTGTTTGTAATGTTCGTGAACACTGTTTAAAGAAAAGGTGTCTATATCAATTTTGGATTATTTTGTCACGATGGAAATTCATGTCTCTCCGTATTTTAAAAGTCCAGTTTTATTAATGTGTTTTAAGATGTAATACCTTTACAGGCACAGCATAAATTGTTGAGAGCTGTGCAGATCACCTGGTTGGTAGGACACATAGGAATGCTTAAGAAGTCCCACTAAATCAATGTATTCTTATTTGCTGTAGGTCTTGTCTGCCTCCAAATTAACCTCTTTTTCAGGAAACTAATAAATACAGAGCGGGGCTGTTATATAAAACAAATATTTTACAGTTTTCAGAGATGCTTTTCTTGACATGAAGTCTGGGATCAGGATGCTTCCTTGCAGCAATGTCTCAGCAGGTTTCGGTGATTTGCACCTTTTGGAATTGTGTCAGGATACTGAGCTGCCCCTGCTGAAGTCTGCAGTCTTCCCATGAGGTTCCCCTGTGCGGCGTTTGATGGGCTGTGGTCAGTCCTGCACATGTATTAATGCTCTAAATTGTTGTCGTCTTTTATGTCCTGACTGCAGATCGTTAGATGGCCGCCTGCAAGTATCTCACCGGAAAGGTCTTCCACATGTGATCTACTGCCGGCTGTGGCGGTGGCCGGACCTGCATAGCCACCATGAGCTGCGTGCCATGGAGATGTGCGAGTACGCCTTTAACATGAAAAAGGATGAAGTCTGCGTGAATCCTTATCATTACCAAAGAGTGGAAACCCCAGGTACCACTGGCCCTGTGTGCGGATACCTCAGCTTCTCCGTACCAGCAGAAGGGGTTCATAAATGCATTTCAAAATTGAATAAAGCAGCAGGCATAGGTTTTTAAAACCAAAGCTTATCTATTATTGATGATAATCTCTTACTGTATGCAGCAGAATAATTTATGAATCTGCACTCAAGGGGGAAATATCATTTTAAATCGATAAAATCCAAGTCGAGCAGGTTGCATTGTTGCCAGGTTCCTAATGTGACATTGTGTGCACGTAAACAACTCGGGACTGTGGCAGTGTTCTGTGCATCCCTAATTGTTGGGATTAAATTAAGGATAAACTTACTGTTAAGTTGAAGTGGATCTAAGAATAGCTCCCAACACAACTGAACTTCCTGTTCTGAAGTCTCCTTGTGCCTCTGAAAGAGACTTTCATCTGGAGCTGCAGATAGTTCTGCTGCGTGTCAGTACAAATCTGCAGAACCCGTCTGGATGTTTATGCTAATCCTGCCTTGCTGTTTCGTTTTATGTGAAATGTATTCCTTTAGAATCATGGGATATAGCTTCTCCTAAATGGCTTTTCAAGAAGACCTGTTTCTTTGCCTTAGAAGGGGCAGACAGACGAGGCGTGTTCAGATAAGCACGTATCCTGTCCCCAGCTGAGATGTGTTAAGAATAGTGTCTTTACCTGCTGCTGTTATTTCAGAAGCAGGTATCAAATTGTGTCCCTGAATTAGCAGCTTTGGTGTTGCATGTATTTAAGGGTGTTACTCTGAACAGGTTTCTCTTCATTTTCTAGGGTTTCAGTCATTTTATTTTAAAGCTCTTAACGTGTCTGTTCTATTTTTTTTTCTTTCCATTTGTGCAGTGTTACCTCCAGTGCTGGTGCCTCGGCACACAGAGATCCCAGCTGAGTTCCCGCCGTTAGATGATTACAGTCATTCTATTCCAGAGAACACTAACTTCCCAGCAGGTATCGAGCCACAGAGCAACTACATTCCAGGTACCGTATATCTTCCGTACAGGGAGCGGAGGGACAAGGGTCATATTGCACAGTGAATCGTGTCTGTGTATGCCCAGCTGGATGACTGGAAAGTCTTTCTTTCCATTGTTACTTTGAAGCTAAGGAGTTGGGACCCTATACAAAAATAGATGAAAGCTGTAAAGGTAGACACATAATAGTGCTGTTTATAGTTTTGTTTTGTTTTCTTTAAACTCACTTCTTCCCTTCAATAGTACATTCTCAGTTTATTGTGAAACCTAAAGATGAATGTTCCCTGAGCAAGTTTAGATTTGAATGAAATTCAGCCATTTTAATTTGAGTAAGATGCTCTAAATTTCTGATGGAATTGAGCTCTTCTATTTATGTATCTCTTTTACAAGCAATTTACACCTTATTTGCATGGACAAGCTATGCAGCTGCACAACAGGAGAGGAAAAATATGTGGACAGAAAACTGTCTGCATGCCTTAAAGTTTTATGGGACTGAAAATCCAGATTTTTTTTGTTTCCCCCCTCCTCTGTTATTCACAAGTATGCTGTGACTATCATCCTGGTTGTGCCAGCTCCTCCTTTCAGCAGCTTGAGGAAGAAAATTTTAAAAAAAGAAATTTAGCTCCTTGTGAATAACAAAGTAAATGTTTGTAGTGTCTAAAATCCAGACTTTACATCCAGTTGCAATGACAGTATGATCATTTTATGTTTCTAGAGACACCTCCTCCAGGTTATTTGAGTGAGGATGGAGAAACTAGTGACCACCAGATGAACCCCAGCATGGATGCAGGTAAGTCATCTTTTGCCATTTGCGGCAGTTTTCTGGGTCATGTCAGAGACTCTCTTGAAGTTTTGATTTGGGGCATTGAAGATCAGATGGCAGTTTGAGGTATTTTATCCCTGTAGGAGTGCAAATGTAGCCTGACATCTCGTGTAAAGAACAGGGCTGTATGTTTTATAGCTGCTGGTGAAAGGTACAGCATATTCCTGTTCTCTCCAACATCCATTGTTAGATACTACCAAGCAGGAGCCTGAAACAGTAGAGACACATCTAAGGATGATAGTTTGTGTTTTGTTTGCATCCATGCATCGGTATGCACATGAAAATTTTGCACATAGCTGGCACTTTTCTGCAGAGGCATTTTTCTGGTCGCTTGGTTCTTATATAAAGAATGTCCAGTTTAACTGTAGTTGAAATGACCACTAGCAGATGTGGTTTTAAATGGGTTTATCATTTAGTGCATATATCCCAAAGAAAGTTGAAAGCCTGGGTTCTCTCTCATTACCAATAGAACAAGTAATGAGGTTTAGGATGAGCAGCCTTAGTGTTCATGCTGACCTGTATCAACCCTTTCGAATTAAACATGCAGCTCTCTTCTTTCTGGGAGTAACTGTTTAAGGCATCTTGTAGATGTGAGTGCTCTCACTACTTGTAAGAACCACTGAATCAGACTCCGAATTCATAAAAGTTTTGCTTGAAAAACAAAAAACACATCCTTGGTTAGAAAGGGTGATGCTTTACAAGAGAGATATGCAAATACATGGCACTTAGATAAAGTGACAGACATGCAGAACCTAATTAATGCAAATACTGCATACACATATCTTGGTTTCTGTCCATGTCTTCAGCCATAGAGCATACGTGGGATTCTAGAAGAGGGATGGCTGATTTCCAGTCTTTCACCACAGTTACACAGATGGAGGAAGGCGGTGTGGGTTTGTTTGTCTACATCAGACATAAACCCATTGACACAATCCATTTTAGTGCATACAATTATTGGTAATGTGGTTGACGTGTGGAATGTATGGATGGCTTTTTGGAAAGCGGAGTGGAATAGGATTGGCCTGGAAGTTGCTATAAATACCTAATTGATGTTCAAATGCTGTATCCCTTCCTTCAGATGTCATGGACTTCCCTCTTTATAGAAAAACAAATTTGAAAGAAACCAGCAAAGTCCGTGTGAGAGGAAAAGAAAAGATGAGCTGTACCACCTGTCTGCATCCATGTGGCATCCAGAGACTGTGGAAATTGCTCTGGATATCCGAGTGCAAATATTTGAAATATACGCATAGAATTTGTGGACCAAATGGAAATGATTGGGGATAAAATTCTGCCAGTTGTTTCATCAGATCTGTGTAGCTTGATCCAATCCCCCATGGTCCCAAACCCACTCAGATTTGTTGATATGAAGTGGTATGTTTTCAGCTGCGGTGTTTTGTGCCTAGCAATGTAAAATCAAGCTCTTAAATGCCCAGCTAGCTGGGTTTGACTGTCGCTGTCATGACGGTGCCTGGGTTTTTGATAACACAAACAGACAACTGTGAGCTCAGTTTTGAAAAATCAGTGGGTTAAGCTTAAGTGAATGCATTATGGAGATGCTTAGCAGTATTGCAGATGTAGCAAGTCGATATAAGTTAGAGCATTTGGAAGCTTGTGTAAAGAGTAATCAACATCAGAGAAGCTGCTGGTGTCACCAAATGAGGCTGAAGTGAGAAGTGGGTAATCCCCCCAACAAGCCTGGGCAGCACTGAAGGTTTTGTGTAAGTGCTTTTCCTTGCAGATGCCATACTAATAATTATAATGTCTTGATTTTCAGGTTCTCCGAACTTATCACCAAACCCTATGTCTCCAGCACATAATAACCTGGGTAAGCATGTGATCTTGAGAACTGCACATAATTACAGTCAAAATAGTGACGTTTTAATGTTGATGTGATTTCTTGAGGTTGCGCACTTCTGATTAAGTTGTTAGCACTGTTGATGTTCCTTTCCTCTAATTCTCTTTACTGTGATAACAGTGGTTCATAGTAACTCTAAATGAAATAAAGAAATCTGGAATTACATCAGAGAGTTAAATAAAAAACCAAGAAATGTTGGAAGACAAATACCAGAAAGAGAGAGTGAAGGACTGCAGCAAAAATACGCTTGTGTGATTACACGAGTTTGCAGGAGTATCACTGTGTATTTGGCTGGTGGTTTTTTTTAAAATTATTTTTAAATGACACAGATTGGGGTTAAATTTTGTCTCCTGGGAAGTTACTTTGTAAACTTGTAGTGGTTACTGGTCTCTTTTACAATATACCGGAGCACTTTGCAATTTTTAATATTTATTAACATGGTCTTACATGCAAATGCTGCTACATGCTGTGGATGGGGCTGGGGTTCAGAGCAGCAGATTTGCCTGCCCTGCTTCGTCAGCTCAGGCAATCATCTGCTTGATTGAGGGGCAGCAAATGCATTACATCCTGACGTAAACCCAGCTCAGGAGCAAGCCTGTGTCCTCAGCTGAGCTGGGATGGTGGCAGAGCACAGGGTAAGTCTAGCTGGGGGACATCCCGAGACTGCATGTGGATAAAGCAGCCCAGAGCCCTCGTGTCGCAGTGCCCTAAACCACTGGAACAGCTGATGCCCCAGGTGTGTGAGTCAGTATAGTATGAAATTGAGCGTGGTCTGAGCAGAGCACAGTGGAGGAGGCTAGTTGGTTGGTGTGCGGTTGGAGAGTCCAAATAAATGGCGAGAGGGCAGGGGCGCTTCTTCGGCGGCGGGGGGCTTGACATCTGCAGGGACAGAGGGGACACGTCAGCGGGGACA